GGTGCAGCCGTTTCGTAGTCTACTGAGCGAGTTAGACACAGACAGACAGACTCACGACGGAGACAACGCCTGACCCCTCAGCGACTTGGACTGAGCTTCGCTCAGCGATTAAGTCACACCTCTCAAATGCAGGTTTTTGGCTGGTAGTAGCCATCAGCCGGAGGAACGCCAACTGAAGGATGACTGAGTCTCACGCAGAGTCACTGTCTCTCGCATACAATTCTGGGAATGACACTGTTACAATGATAGACCTTTTTGTGAATGACATAACAAAAAATTCAATGTTTCAGAAATATTTAAAATGATTTGACATATGGTTAATTGAAAAAAGTTACTGCATTCAGTCCTGCTTGACATTTTCAACATGTGTAGAGGAAGTAGATGCACTGTTGATGAGCAGCACCCCTGATATAACCAGGAAAGTACCAAGACACCAAAGAGCACCAATGCGTTCAGAAAAGAGCAGCCATCCAAACAAAGCCTGAAAAAATATTAAGAAAGGAACAGTCAACAATAAGTTAATTAAAGAAACAAAGCTATGGTAATATTCTTGGGGATTTTCTTGGAGGAAATAATTTACCGAACAACAATAGTTGACCGCTGCACTGGTTACAGTGACGGTAAGGGATGACTTTGAATCTCGAAGAGCCTTAACAAACATGGTCCACACAAGACTGTTTGATATGATCATAAAAGCAATTAGCAGTGCCCCTAGCAATGGAGATCCCGCCTGTAAGGAAACATACAGTAATTGGTGGTTTCTTCTTAAAGCCAGTGCTAGGTTAGAGTTTTTTTTTTTTTTTTTTTAAACTTTTATGCATAATGCGTTTGGTACTAGTTTACTTTTCAAATTTTCTGAAACAATTACAGTAAAAATTTTACTTTGAAGTACTGTTTTTCTGTGTTGTTTTTAAATCTTACTTCAGAGTATAACTTTCCAAAAACACTGGCAGAAGCGGCAGACAGCCCCGATAAAGCTGCATAAGAAGCTCTCAATCCCTTGAATGGCAAAAATGTAGCCATTATTATTAATTCTTAGGTACGATAGTAATGAAAATTGTTGACATTACTATCATATCGTCAATAGCATGAAATTTAAACCACAGTTATTAATGTTTGTTGTTTTTCTTCCCATCCCAGCATCCCAGTGAATTTTTCATACGAAATTATGAAAGTATTGATGAAAAATTGTTATGTTTGGGTTAATCTTCTTGTCTTGTTCAACAGCTGATCAAGAAAACCTGTGACACAAACCTTGCTATTTTCATGAAACTAATACGTTTAGCTGTACGAAATATTCTTTGTTTTGAAGTCGCTAGTCAAAGACACCTTACGACTACTGCAATAATGAAGAGATACCAGAGGCGAAGTATGATTTCTTCCACATGCAATGCCGGCAATGACGGCAAGGTGTTCTGTACCCTCTGCTTGAGAACATTATTATTATTATACTTTTTTGTTCATTTAAGAAGTGCTACTACTGTCAATATAAAACTAATTTTGTTTTATTTTCTCTCTTTAATTAATTTTGGTTCTGTTCGACAGACAAATCTCAAAGTCTTAACAATGACCCATTCTCTCTTCACAACGTTGTAAAAGGTATTGAAAAATTTGCACCGTTAAGTTTGGCAGAATCCTGGGATAATGTTGGTTTGTTGGTGGAGCCACCTTCTTTAAAACAGGTACATTTATTCTCACCTTGTTCTCACTTTATTTGATCCAGCAGGTTTTAAACTATGCAACATGTCTTTTATTTCTAGGTAAAACGAGTCCTTCTTACCAATGACCTCTCTGAAAGTGTGCTAGCAGAGGCCCTTGATATTGGGGTGCAGCTAATAATAGCCTATCACCCTCTAATATTCCGTCCAATTAAATCTGTACGGACAGAAGATTGGAAAGTAAGTAATGGCGAGCCTACACGTCTCTGCTTCACCCTGTTGTGAAAGTTCTAATAAATGTCTCCATTCTCTTCAGGAAGCAATTGTTGGAAATCTCCTAGAAAAAAAAATCGCTTTGTACAGTCCGCATACTGCTTGGGATTGTGTGGAAGGAGGTGTCAATGATTGGCTAGCGGAAGCATTTGGTAGGAGAAATATTTGTAACTTTCCTTACAACATGGTAGTTTTCAACCAAACAAATTTCTCAGTAATTGGTCAAACTGATATATTGCTGATAGAGCATTATGACATATTTAAAATTGCTTCATTTTGAGATTGAAGTGATTTAATAGTGACAGTACTTCTGCTATCTATTTGACATCCCAGGTAGTCTGTCACCATTAGATCGATTTGATCTCCAAATAACATAAAATTGAAAATTTGAAATATCTCATAGTATGACTTATAAGTATCAGCAGGTATAACGTCAAAATCCCTAATTTTTGCAGGTAAGGATTCTTCTGTTGAACCACTAAAGAAGCACGATGATGGAGCCAACATGAAGATCGTCAGTGCATTGTTTGACAGTTCTGAATCAGCAGAGAAAGCAATGTCAGATATAAATGCTGCCCTGACCTGCTCTATACACACATTCCAGTAATTAAATCATTAATTAATGATTTACTATACAGTTAACTGTGCTTTGCAAATAATGACATACTCATTCAGACCTTTTTTTTTTATTGTTAAATGTAATTTACATTTTTTTTTTCAGGGAGAAAAATGGGAAAGTGTGGTTGAAGATATATGTTGATAATGAATATCTTTGCTTGCCTCATCTCCATTCAGCTACTAAAGTTGAACTCAATCAACATAAAAAAGTAAGAAGGCTGATTTCAATCATCTTGTTTGGACCGTAATGTCCTCTGGTTACCTATACATCCTAATTTTCCTTAATACTTCACACAGATTTCATCAAGAATAAATGCTGGGTTAGGACGAAAAGTCCTGCTGAAGGAATCCATTACTCTTCAAACTGCAGTTTCACTTGTAAAAAGTCATCTTGGTTTACCTGATGTAGCAGTTGCAACTGTACCTGGTGAAAAATACGGTAAGTCTTGTCTATGACTGATAATTGTTTACTAATTCTGAATACATATATCCTACTATTTACGTCACTGACTTGTTTTTTATCTTTTTAAATACTGACCATTTCTTTTTAATGTTTGTGAACGCAGAAAGCACAGTAGTGAAGACCATAGCAATTTGTGCTGGATCGGGTGGTTCAGTCCTTAATGGTGTGGATGCCGACTTATATCTCACAGGTGTGCATCTTAATTTTAGATTATCAAACCAAAGCTTTTGTTCAAAAATTTTTGTTTTGATTGTAGATTTACATTTGACTTCTATTTGATAGAAAATACTATTAATCCAACATTTTATTGCACAGGTGAGATGTCACATCATGAAGTCCTGGATATAGTGCATAAGGGAACTCATGTCATTCTAACTCGTCACTCAAATTCTGAAAGGGGCTTCTTGCACGTTGCTGCAAAACACCACCTTAAGAGGTTGTTGCCAGAGGTAAAGTACTGTTGGTTCTATTAAAACTTCTCAACTAAGTATTTGTTATATGTATTGGCCTCTCTATAAAACGAGCTTTTTTCTTTTAATAGGTTGAATTCATTGTGTCCTCTGTCGACAAAGATCCCCTGGAAACCAAATAATTTAAAATAGAGGACACTCTGGCTTGAAACTATTTCTTTGAAGTTAATCAAAAGAATGTTCCGTGCTGGTGTTTGTTATAATTATATTCAAAAATACATTTGATCTGAAAGGAATATTTTTATTCTATTTCCCTCCAACAAAATTTCCCTGTCTCCACGTAGTTGCTTGGTGGGTATGCCTCTCCAGCACAGAAATAATCTACAACCAAAACAAAAATATTCTGAGCAATGGCTTTGGTTTCGAAAATATAAAGTTATGGTACACACCTGTGAGATTTAGGTCAGTGTCAGCGTCCACACCACTAAGGAAGAACTGAACCACCCGATCGAGCAGCCGCTTCCTGCCGCCGCTTCATGCTGCGGACGGACACAAATCAAAAATTAAGCGCGCCGCGCTGCGTAGTCCCGGCCAATCAGATCGCAGCAAATTTAAAGAAAACAAGTGAATACAGTGTGGTGGTTGTGTCAAACCTTGTACAAATGGATGGTTCTTGAGGTTTAGTAAGAAAAGAGTTTTACCCGAAAACTTCTTTTCATAAATAATAATGAAATTCACAAAACTGTTATGGATACGGAAATTGTGTAGTTTGTAGATCAGTAAACAGAACGTTTTGGCCCACATTACGTTACATTTTTGTTTCGTATGGTGGATACACTTCTTCTTGCCACTTGTTGAGGAATTCACTTGTTTTTTTTTGTTTTGTTGTGTTTTGTGTTGTGTTTAGGCTGGAGTTTTGTATATAATGATAGGGTATCTTACTCCTGATCTTCTCAAATATTTAGAGACTACTCGAGTACATACTCTTCCCTTGAAATTTTTAGGTCGTATTACCTGTTCCTCGCTGATCGTAGACATGGGTGTACTTTTCGGAGTAACAGTGGCTGCGATAATAGAGAGTGTGTATATTTGGTCATCTGGTTTGTTTGAAATCTGAAGAGGGAGAGAGGCTGTGCTGTGCCTACTTACTGTTTGAGTCGCCAATTATGTGAGAGGATTGTGTGATGTCTGGTTCTGTGTCTGGGCCAGGTGGCTCAGTGAGTTCCACACCTTCCACAGGGCATTCCCATGCAGTCCATGCAGTGGTTGTGTGGGAGTGGGAGAACAGACAAGGGCGCTGGAGACCATACAGCCCTGAGGTTTCCCAACTTTTAGAGAGGGCTCATGGCAAGAAATTGACTAGAGTTATTTTAAGTGATGCCGATCCTTTGTTGGAAAGGTACTATGTTAATCTCCGGACAAAGACACAGTGCTCGGAAGATCCAGGTTTGTGTACACCATGGTAATACAAAATGTATGCATTCCGTATCATACTTCAATATTATTTGAATTCTTTTTGTGTCTGATTTTAGCTGGAGGTGTCTTACACAATGTCAGACGTCAGTGCTACCCACCTGACTCACCCGCTGGCAAAGGAGCCAAGTGGGAGTGGGCAGGGGACATGATAGGCGAATGGCATACCTATGACATGGACATACAGTGCCTCATTGAAGAAGCTTGGGCCAAAGTGAGTCAATTATTTATAGCTACATGCTTATCGCTGTTGCAATTTTAATGGAAATTGGATCAATGGATTTGTACTTGTTTAATCTCTTATTTTAGGGAGAACAGACTATTGATGTCAGCAAGTCACACTATTTAGGTTTTCCATACATTATCAATTTTTGCAATCTTACTCAAATTCGCAATAACACTGGATATGTGAGGAGTATACGGCGTGTTCAACAGGCCCCATACCCTCTGGTGAAAGTTCAGCTTCATGATCTTGTTGCAAGTCCAAGCCCTCCACCTTTCCAAAGTAAGTTACAGTTTATAGAGTCCTGCTAAGTTCTTACTAAAATGAATTAATATTTTTTGTTATTTTATTATTTAGACCCAAGAAGGCCAAATCAGCCTCGTATGTTGACACCAACAGGATCTATTGCTAGTAGTGGAAGTGGGAACTCATGGAGTAGTGCTAACTGTGCTGGCAAGAAAACAGTTCCATCTGCTTCTAATTCAAATTCAAAGAAACAAAACAAAAAGGCCAAGAGTCCTAGTGAAGGCGCAGGAAACATAGCCCGGACTATATTGAGCAATATATTTGGTAATTCAATCATTTATTTTTCTAATGTACTCCTGCTAATGTCTTGGCTTCACACTGTCATTACCAATTCTTAAATTATACTTTATACAATCTTAAATTATACTTTTGGTCTCACATTTCCTCCTAGGAACAAAAGGTGTTCATGCAAGTACCCCTGGCTCACTAACACTTCCTCCTGCATATCGAGGTCCAACTGTACAAAAACATCCTCCCTCTTACCGTCCTAACAGCAGCCATGCCTCTTTAACAAGACCAGATCGCCCAGATTCTGTGCTTGATGCTGACTCTAGCAGTACAAAGAGTGGACGTCGACCATCTGTGGACACTGTGTCTACATATCTGAGTCATGAATCGAAAGATAGTGAACTCAGAGCATCGAGGGTTAGAATTTTTACCAGTAAAGTTGTGTTCATTTTTTGATGGTTTAAATTTTATCTACATGACTGCTAAATTTTGTTTTTCAGAACACAGTGTCTGATTTAATTGACTGTGGTGGCAGTAGTTGTGATGATGTGTTTGACTCTGCTCCTCTACAGCGTCCTACATCACACCAACGACCTAAAGGTGTAATTGTTGGTAAGTTGAATTATGGTAAGGTAAACTAAGAAGGGTTTATTTTATTGTATCATTTTTATAATTTGTACTCTCTTTTCTCTTTGCTCTCTCCCTGGATTAGGTGTTGATGCAGCTAGTGAGGTGATTTCCCAATATGTCCAGGTTGTTGAAAACCCATCTTGGGGTTCAACTTGTCCTATCTGCCTTTGTGATTTACAAGGAGATATGACTGTGGCTCTGTCTCGTTGCTCTCATATGCTTCACTTGAATTGTCTAAATAATATGCTAACAGGACTGCCCTGTGCAGATAAAGTAAGTGAAATTTTGGTGTGACTATATAGTTTTTATTATTGATGATACAACTAAACAGCTCTAATTTTGTCTGAAATCCACAGTGGCTTTACATACAGTGTCCTGTCTGTATGACAATCTATGGGGAGAAACGAGGTAATCAACCAGCTGGATCAATGGACTGGACTATTCTCCATTATTCTCTCCCAGGACATCCAAATACCTGGACTATTCAAATAACATATAAGTATGTCTTAAAATAGTCTTTATCTATGCATTTAAAATCCACTAAGGTATTAAATTTCTGGTTTTTACTCTGATTTTTCATTGGTGTTTATAGCATAGCATCTGGAATACAAGGGCCAGAACATCCAAACCCTGGTCGACCTTATTATGCTGTTGGATTCCCTCGAGTTTGTTACATTCCAGATACTGAGAAGGGCCGCAAGGTGAGTGGTGACAACTTTCAAATAATTCTGAAACCAGTTGATATGCTGCTGTGCTTTTATTTTGATTAATGTAATATAAATGAATATTAATCTAGGTGCTCAAACTGCTAAGAATAGCATTTGAGCGGCGACTGGTTTTCACTGTTGGCCGTTCTGTCACTACTGGATTAGAGGATGTTGTCACATGGAATGAGATACATCATAAAACAGAGCCAGGTTTAAGCCACAATGGACATGGCTATCCAGACCTTGAGTACCTTGACCATTGCCTTGAGGAGCTTGCAGCCCATGGTGTGACAGACCCAGAAGAATCTAACTTGTATCAAGAGTTGAACTGATATCAATAGCTTTAATTAAAGCAGAGTTTCCTGTTTGTTACCGTCTAATATTTATGGTGAAGGTGTTACCTCTGTGCCATCCTTGTCTAAAATACTCATTTGCAACATATTTATATTGGTTATTTTCCTCAAGATTTATTCTATGTTAGATGTATTTTTTATCACTTTTGTTTCAAATACAGTAATCATTGCTGTACAATATATAGTTAAATATTTTAGCTATTCCTATATCTAATATGAAAATTCCTATCCTAAATAATATTTTATGTTACAAGAAATGTGTACCATATAATTTGTTTGTTTGTTCAAAGTATTTTATTAGATAAGTGTTTTGTATGTTTGTCTTTTAAGACAATATTACTTTTAAGTGAACTGAAGACAGACTGTCAAATGTAGAGAAATTTTTTATATGAATCATAGAATTTAAGAAAACTTGTTTTGAACTGTTCCTGTAATTAGTGCCAACGTTGTGAAACATTAAAACATTGTTTGCCCAAGCATTTAACCATGTATTAACCCTTTTTCATTGACTACCTTCATTATGTTTTCTGGTTAATTTTTAATAACAGTTCGGTAAAATATGTGGGATGGAATATTTATTGTATTTTACATGGGATAGTTACATTTAGTTTAGCTAAAAACAATTCTCAAAAACTTAGTGCTTGGGTTCAACCTCATAACCGACACCGGGGAGAGGGTTGGTCTCAGGGTTGTGGAAGAAAGACTTCTTGCCATCTCCCCAAGGGAAGTTCTGCAGAAGCGTAAACACAATAAGGATACAGAAACTAAAATTTCAAGATAGTGGAAAATTACAAATAATTACCTTCTTGCGGATGCGCATGTGTTCATACTCCTTGTATTCTGGTGGGGGCTCATGGTGGGCCGCCTCATGCTGGAAAGTTATCACTGAAGCAACAACGAGGCCAGGAAGAACTCCGAAGAGACAAATCCGCTCCCACATCTTGGCGTGAGCCAAAGCTGTAAATGTAAAAAATTGAAATGAAAGAATCTGACACATTATTTAAACACTAGCTCAATCTGGGTGACTTCGAGTCATACATAGTATAACGTAATATTAAGTTTGTTAACTGACAGCATTTCAGATGTTCTACATATTTCCTTGAGACATAACCTTAACGTGCGACAGAGCACCACACTTATTAAAAGAGAAGAGGAAAATGTCGAAGAGAAGCAATAAAAAACCGTGAGGACATACAAAGTCCGTATTGTACTATGCAATAAAAGTCCCGAAACCAGATAAAATATTTAGTGCAAAAAATCGACCTTCAGGTCATGATGGACGAACATCCTTAACCTGTACATTTGGATATTTGGTTCCAGGCGCCTGTATATTGTTGCTCTATGTTCCTTTAACTCACCATGTTTTCCAGCGGTTCCTGCACCACCTGAAGACAGCCTTGTACCCGCGGGCGCTAGTTGTAACGCAACCTTTTTCAGGGCTGAGGCCATTTTTGCGACTGCGACTTCTTTCAGTCCAGACGATACGACTGGCACTGAAAATGAAGAGCAGCAGAAGCTGCACTGCGAATAGTCAGATGAGCGACCAGCTGATTTAAAGGGCTGCCATTTCCCGAAAAGCCCTTGAAATACAAAAGGGGACTAAAATTCTGCCAAAAAATTGATAGGAGATGGCTTTTCTCAAAAGCGACATTTTAATAATTCTAAAGTCATTATTTTAACAGAATTTCAACATCAACATTTTAAAAACAACTGTATTTTGACATGGGAAATATGGCGACACTTGCCGTAGAGCAAAGAGAAAACAAAGAAAGCAATTTCCAAACATGGCGTCCGGTGAAGAGTGTTCATTGAAATTTGAATGACGTTTCCTTGTCTCTTGCTTACAAACTTCTGAAATATGCGTGCTGCACGGACAATTTTTAACAATTTTAATAGCCTGTTACCAGCTAGCACAAGTTCTTACAGTGTCAAGGCGACAGAGGTATAATCTTCAGCATATTTCAAAGTTGTGATAGGTTAGATGTCGTGTCTGCTTGCAATAGTAATGCTTTACTTGTAATATTTTAAAATTTTCTGATTCAAAGAGATAATGCATGAAAAGAGTTTACATTGTATTACTTACGTATTGATCAGTTGTATTCATAATGTAGGTTGTGAAGTCCACTCCTTACCCTCGTCGAATTCTCTCTGGAATTCAGCCAACCGGTTCACTTCACTTAGGAAACTTTTTGGGTGCTGTTCAGAAATGGGTGGAACTTCAAAATTCAGGCGAAGATGCATTTTACAGCATTGCCGACCTGCATGCCATAACAGTACCACAGGTAATTGATTGAAATTTTAAGAATAACTTGCTGCTATTTGTATGTGTTAAATGCACTCTTTTTTTTTTTAATGCCACAGGACCCAAAAGTTCTGCAGAATGGAATATTTGAAATGACTGCTAGCCTTTTAGCATGTGGCATTGACCCAGAGAAGTGTGTTCTCTTCCAGCAGTCCAAGGTTATTTTTTAAGACATGGAGTTCATTGATTCCTACTTTGAAATTGATTCTATCAACTATTTCTTATTCATTTTAGGTTCAGTACCATACCCAATTATGCTGGGTTCTTGCAAGCTTAACAACAATGGCAAAGTTAGGTCAACAAGCACAACTTAGAGAAAAACGAAATATTATTCAAGAATTATCAACTGCACTGTATCTGTACCCTGTGTTGCAAGCAGCTGATATTCTCCTTTACAAGTAAATTGCTGATAAAATTTAAATTCAATACCACAACCCGAAGTTTTGAAAAGGCAATTTTTAAAATTAGAATATTTTATTTTCAGAGCAACTCTTGTTCCAGTTGGTGAAGACCAGATTTCTCACCTTAATTTAGCATCCTTTTTAGCAAAAACCTTTAACAAACGCTTTGGAAATACTTTTCCAGAACCACAGGCATTTATTAATGGTAAGAAATAATTTTGTCAAATGGTCAATTTCTCACTCATACTTTATTTAGAGTTCTATACATCTTTTTGACTTTTCCAGAGGATAGTAGTCGCCGTCTTAAAAGTTTAAGGAATCCTCTGAGCAAAATGTCTAAATCAGATAAAGATCCCCGGAGCCGTATCAATCTATTTGATTCGCCAGAAGACATACTTTTGAAGTGCAAAAAAGCTGTAACAGATAGCATATCTGCAGTAGAATATGAACCAGAAAAGAGACCTGGCATTTCTAATCTAGTTGTCATACATTCCTCTCTTACTGGCAGACCAATCGACACCATCTGCCAGGAAGTGGTTGGAATGCAATCTGGAGAGTAAGTATTAAAAAGAAAAAAATCGTAACATGGCACTCTTTATATTTATTTCTGTACTTCATATGTTTGTAAATAATAACACAGTTTATTATACCTATCTTCTGTTTTTCAGTTACAAAATCGCAATGGCGAATGAAATAATTGAAGTACTTCGCCCTCTCAGAGAAAGATTTAATCAACTGATTAATGAACCTGCGTATCTAGAGAATGTACTGAAAGTTGGAGCCTTGCGTGCTGAAGCTCAGGCTCAGGAAACCTGGCAGGATGTCAGCCGAAAAATTGGTATTGGAAGGAACCAATTAGCAGAATCTGACCTTGCCACCTGTAAAAACTGATTCATAGGTATTAAATTATCTACCCTTAATGGTATTTTAAAAAAACATTCGAAGTTTTTAAATTGATCTGTTTCTATTTTTGATACCAAACACAGGGAACCTTTATAAAATTCTTTAATTCAACATACCTTGGTTTAAATCATTGCAGAATAAAAAGAATATTGCGTTTCTTGTGTTGGTGAACCATGTGTCAATCACCCACAATGACACATTCTCCATCGTCCATTATAACAAAACCTGCAAAACATTTTAATATTTGCCTATTGGTTGTATTTGAACTGAATAAGATTGCGCCATTTTCAAGAAACAAACCTGTTCCTTTCAGACAGTTGTAGTAGTTCATCATGCACGGATTGGAGAAGGACATTTGTGTGTCTTGGAATTCTGCGCAGACAGGATTGTAATCCCTTCCACATATAATGTTGCAGGGATCACCCGAAACGCATAGCGTCATAAGCATGAGATCTGTGGAAGAGAAGACCAACTAATCAAAATAATTTCCACTCACCATAATTAGAATCTATTGAAAACAATGAACCCACCTAGGATGATTAGCTTTATTGAGATTTTGGACTTCATGCTGCTGGCTGCTGGAAGTCCTGTAGAGTCGCTCCCGTGGCGCTCAAACTCGATCGGTGAGTACCTGTACCGAGTTGGCGCCGCCTCCTCCACCCCACCCTTCCCGGCCTACGGTGCTGCTACCCAGTACACGGTGCCTGCGCTCCCCTCACCTAAACCTCGAACCCTGATAAATTCTTGAAATTTTGAATGGAGCAAATATTAATGTTAAGTAAATTATTATCATCGTAACGATCTTCGTGGGTTTAGAACAGCTTTCTGAGGGTGTTCATTTTCATGTCATTTATAGCGTATGGAAAATGGAAAAAGTTGTCTAGTGGCTACTCTTCCCTTTCCCAATCCTTCCCTCTGTTCCCCGTTCCATCGCAGCCCTCTCTCCTGGAACCGCCACTCTCGCCGTGCGTTGATGACTGGCTGTGCAGGTATGTTCGTTCGTGACGTGATCAACGCCCGCCGGAGCAGAACGAACGACTTGGGCGCGATATTGGTTCTAGACACCCGCGGTGAAAAAAAAACAAAAAAAAAACAACAACAACAAAAAATCACACTCACTCAAAACAGGTCTCTAGCTCTAATAGCTTGGTGGTAAACAAAACTACGTATCATATTACGTTTCAAAATATGATTTATTGTCATCAGTCTTTTGAAGTGCTTTTCGGCGATGACGTTTCTGCAGTAGTCGCAACAACAGCAGCGGCAGCGGCACTTGCCGCATGCTCCGTCTCGTCTTCCTCGCACGGCTTTGTTTTGTCCACCATCTCAAAGTCTGTCAACAAAATAACCAGGCGTCAAGTAAAATAATGTAAAAGCGGCCTTGCATGGCGGCCTGCCCGCTATACTCCACGCTGCAGGGTGGCGTGGACGGCGTGGAGGCTAAACGAATGCAGGGGAGTGAGATGGGTTGCCTATCTCACGTTGGGTAGGCGCTTCTCGCCGACGAGCAGCAGCACCGCGAGAGGCCCAGGCATGGGACATAAAAGTCGGTTGTTGCGTCAAAACGCGGCCAGGCGTTGTTTACGTCCCCAAATGACACATCTTTTCCACCCCGTTTTCCCTATCATGGCTCCATGTCGCGTGGCGCCCTACCCGCGGGAAGCTCGCGACGCGATATACAGAACCTCTCTTAAAGGTGCAGTTGAACAGGCGGACGTCGCACTCGTTGGCGAAGCTCCTGCGCTCGTTGGTGGTGGGGCTCCTGGCGCACACGGGGTTGAAGTCCCGCTGGCAGACTATACTGTTGCAGGCCGCCCTGGTGGAGGCGATGGTGGAGGTGGTGGTCGGGGTGGTGGTGGTGGTGGTCGTGGTGGTCGGGGTGGTGCTGGGCGCGGAGGTGTGGGTGGAGGCGGCGCCACAGCACGACGCGCCCAGCGCCAGAGCTGGTTGTGGGAGCGACGGGGGAAGTCCATATTATTTTGCCTTGCCGCCGTGAAACGTGGCCACAGACCCCCATCCAGTCCAAATTCCCCAGAATCTCCTCGTCATATGCCCCGCGCAGACTAACCTAGGGCCATGAGCGTCGGCAGGGTCGCCATAACGCTGGTCGAGTGTTGCTGCGGGTGCGGCGCCCCCCGCGGTACTGCTGCCAACGCGGCGGCCGGGGCGGGGCGGGCGCCGCGGTGCTGCCAACGTCGCAGCGAACGGATCGGTCGCGTTGGGGTAGGTTCGATCGGATCGGAATGAAGGGGCCAGGGAGGCCACGCCTGATCATCTGGGCGGGGCGCCTCTTCGCCCCTAAATGATGTCGATTCTCGCCATTTCTCGCGCTCACCCGGCTGGGCCAGCGGGACGCCCGATTGCGCGCCGAGAATAGCGGCCCGCGGCCCGCGGGGCTGCCTATTTAGGACGAGTTGCAAATGCCGCCGTACGCCTCGGGACTTCTTTTATTGTCTCGTTATAATCCCGTGTGCCGCGCGGAGTACCGAGAGCTCGCGGATAAGCCGTTGGCGCGCGGGGCGTGGCGCGGGGCGAGGAAAGATTCGGGGTATTATCGTCTCTTTGCACGCGCCTGGTGCAACCCGCAGACTCCTTCAAAAGAGACGGCGGAGGAGGAGGAGGAGTGGGCGCACACACACCTCCTCGTGGCGACATTTGGGCTCACCTATGGGTGCAGCCGCGGTGACCGACAACTGGGCTACAGCGTGACCACAGCGTGCAAGACAGGGGGGAATGAGGAAACTATCACGTCAATATCGTGGTGACGCGGAGCTAGATTTTCAATACAATAATTCACCTCTTATTACGACTTGCAGCAGAGCAATATTCCATTTTCCTCACTTTGTATCGTTGTCGACGTTTTGGGTTCGCCTATGGAAATGCGCGCTTAACGTGATAACGACATCGCCCTAGGAACAAGGAACAACACGTCACGTTCTCGTTTCAGAAACGATGTCAAAATTGTCGTTCGTCGGTACGGTAGGTATAAGTTATCGTTAACAACACTGTGTGATGCCTTGGCTCGGGAAGGGAAGTACCAGAGAGCAAAATGTGCACAATAAAGAAAGACAAGTGAGTCCGACGGACGTTAATAAAAGGACGTCAGAATCGTATATGCTTTTCGATTTGAAGTGATCGATCATTTTTTTGCGGGCCCTTTGCTTGTTACTTATCAACTGCGAGACACCTGTCCACATTTCCCGCCGAGGCGCGAGCCATCCGGATGCGGGCAGGCCTCCCGCGGGAAGCAGAGCAAACGAGCAAAGGTGTTGGACGATAAACGCGAATGTGGGGCCCGGGACTTCCTTGCACAACGACACACAGAGAGAGACAGAGATGGAAGGGTGGACCACGAGGGCCGAGGCGAGACGCCCACGTGAAGTTGGGTTACACGGTTGTGTACTCGTGGGCGGGGCAGGGCTAGGTGCCGGTGGTGGGGGTTTCGCTCAAAATCCTCGCGTATGCCATTCAAGTTTTCAGTGACACGGGCCGAGTGTGAGTGACAACCTGCCCCCTCCTGGACGAGGACACACAGTCACTGGTCATCCTCGACCGGACCCGACCACCCCGTGCATCGCATAGCTGTCTGGTGAGTGAGAGTAACATACAAAGGTTGGTCCACAGAACCCTGATTACTTTATTTTGCTTTTACTGTACCGCATGCAGGCGTGCGGGCGGGCTTGCCTATCCTAGCTCGACGTTGCGCCTAATGGCTCCGTGCGAGTATGCAACCTGGCCGCACGCCTGCACAGTATAAGCAAAATAAAGGAAGGGTTCTGTGGATCGCCCTGTAAAAAGTTGGAGATGTTTCTCGGCTCCAGTAGTGTGAGTGAAGGGACTTGTTGGACTGTTCGACAGCCACGCATCTCTATGATCCTTCCAGAGCCGAATCTATCATCAAAGTGAGATGTGCAATATCGATAACTCAATGGCCATGGACATCGGCAGGCCTAGTCAGTCGTTCAGTTGTCAGTGCGAGAGAGACAGACTTGTGTGTAGCCCCTTAAGAGTCCGTGAGTGACAACTGAGTGGCTCGCGTTGCCGTGACCCCTGCGATGATTTTAAGGCCCGCCAATTTGCCAACACACTCAAGCTCACACAGTCCTGTTGGACCTACGTAGTGTCGTTCATATCTGCGGTAGTTTAAGCAGCTTGTCAGAGGACGCCAACTCTGTCTTGGTCTTCCCCCTAGCGCGGCGGGTAGCGTCGGCTAGTGGCTGGGCGGCCAGTACCGGCGCGTCCTCACAGCGTCGGTGCTTATAGCGATCGGGCAACACCGTAGGGCATGGTTGCCTTGAGGAAGGCGTGCGGTCGGGGGGTGG